CACACCGCCCGCTGAGCCATTCGGCCAGCAGCCGAGGAAGCCGCGGGGCAGTCCAATGATCAAGAGGGCCTCCAACAGGGAGCGAGAGCCGACATCAGCATCAGCAGCAACGGTTAAGGTCGAGAGGGTGGCGGAAAGTAGCAAGACCCTGCCCGGCCCCCCGGGGTCCCGTGGGAGGCGAGCGCAGTCCTCTTCACCTCAAGCACGGCCGCTGGAGCCTCGGCCGCTAGCTGTCGTCATACCCTCACCAGCAGCAAAGCACGCAGGTGAGATACTTGATGCTTTGCTGGATCGTTTTTGTATCTATCTGCTCTACGTGCCGTGCGTATGTCTGTCTGGCTGCCTGTTTGCAGCTGCCCCTTCGCCCATCCCGCTGCCCCCGCGTCAGGTATCCCCTCTCCCCGGCGACCTGAGGGCCTCGCGGGATATCGATGTCACTGAGATGCGGCCCATCAGCCTGCCCACAGCACCTCCGCATTCCAGCGGTGGGGGTGCATCGTCCAGCCTGTCGCAGCCGGCGCCATCTTTTCCCTCCTCCCAGCGGCTGCCGTCTCACGAGAACTCCGACAGGGAGTCGTCGCCGAGCTCGTCTTGGGGGTCATCCGTGGTTCACTTCTTTCGCGTAGCCGTGTGTGGGCAGTGCTTCGCAGATGAGATACCCGCGGTACGTACGGGATCGGGTCGAAACACTCGCGCAAGAAAAAACAAACGAGCATCTAGTGATCGATCGTCTTTTCTGATTGGATTGCAGGGTGGTGATTATGTGGAGCACTCGTCCGTGCCCTTGCCCGGCATGGACATGGAGGTCAGCGGTGCCCGCAAAGGTGTCGTGGGCGCGAATCCGACGTGGGTGCCTACAAGGACCGCGACCAGGCCGAGAAGCTGTTCGATCGGATGAAGCGGAGGGGCATCCGGCGACACCCTCTGCTGATGGGCTCCTGGTGGGAGGTGGAGAGATGTCTCCACCGGCGGCACACCGCTTGAGCCACGATGACGTCTCCTGTAGAAGAGGGCAGCTACTATGCCTTCGGTGCGTGTGGGGCCGACCAGCGGCTGACGTTCCACGAGCGGACTCCATTCCCCGTGGACTACTTCACTTCGTGGGGCAAGGTGAACATTGTCGGCCACAACACGATGCTCAAGGGGTACGCCGGCATGTGCCAGACAGAGGCCGCAGAGCGACTGCTCGAGGCCATGCAAGCCTGTGAGGTCGGCAAGGAATTCTGTGTCCATCTCCCCGTTCACGGGCGGTTCTGATCGACCCCTGCCGTCACCGTGTGAACGGGGAGATGCGCCGGCCGGCCGCGGGAGCAACACCACCCGTTTGTTTTTCTCACTCTTTTCGGTCGCTGGATCGCGATGGGATGCGTGTGTGTGTGTGTGTGTGGTGGGTTGGGTTGGTTTATGGGGCTGTGTTGTTTTGTGTGTCGGTCTGGCTGTGGCGTTCTGTAGTGTGTCTGTCGTGTCCCGTCTTCCTTTATGCTCGTTGCGTTGCGCCCAGCGGCCACCGAGCAGTGTGTGGCGGTCACTGAGTGGGGGCGGGACCTGACATCCCGACCTCCACTCATGTGAATGGAGGTGGGGATGGGTGCGTGTACGGCTCTTCTGGTGCATGGACACGCACCAGAAGAGCAGTCACTGGCTGACGTGATGGAGAGGGGGGTAGAGAGAGATCCAGATAGACACAGAGAGATACAGAAAGAGGGACAGGGAAGACAGTAAAGACGGCCTGACTGCCACGCCACGCCACGCCATGCCATGCAGGCGTGCGCAGCACCACCCGCTCTCTCACTCATCCATCCATCCACCAACCAACCACGCCACACACACACACACATACAGAGAGACAGACGCACACCCCAAGACAGCAGCGGTGGTCAATCCACTGCCTCCCCTTCTAATTAGGCTGGATGGCTGACGTGGGATGGGATGGCGGGTGTTGGCTGCGTGCGTGCGTCGCGTGCGGTTGTACTGTAGAAGTGGTTGGTGATGGCGCTTACACTTACAGGGAAAGAAGGGGGGAGAGATAACCGACCGACTGACTGACTGACTGTCTGCCTGATTGCCTGACTGACTATGTCATGTTGATATGCAGTGCCGTGCTTTGTGAGTGACGCTGGTCAGGCCTGCCTGGATACACACAGACGTCTGCTGGGGCCGTGTGCAGTGCCGTGTGATCGATACGCACAATGGATGGTGTTTGTATGCCTGGATGCCTGGATGCCTGGATGGATGGATGGATGTCGATTCTGCTCCCTCTTGCTGTGTGTACAGACAGACAGACAGACAGACGGACGGACAGAAAGGGGGAGGGAGGGGAGTTTTGGATTGTGCAGCATGGTGACACCCTCTCCCCACGAGAGACCTCAGGTCGCTGAACCGAACGAATGGATAACACCAGTGTGCTCACCCATCGGTTGCAACGAAATACACACCAACGAACGACACATAGGCAACGTAACTGACACGACGACCGCATCACCTCACCCACCCTCAAACACGTACCGTTTGCAGATCACACCCACACACGTGTGGACACATCACACCACACACGTGTGTGTCCCTCTTGTCTCACTCACTCCTGGCTTTGTCTTTTGTGTGCCCCCGTTGCCTTGTGTGCGTCTGAGAAGGTATGGTAGGCCCTCGGTTTGGCGGCGGCATTGCCTTCTGCCTCCTCACAGACTGTCTGGGTGTAAGGTGCCTGGGAACCGTGACAGACTGGGGAAGGGGGGCCCGAGTTACATACAGTGGGTGCAGCAAGGGTAACCAGGCGTGTTGATAGGTGTCTCTCTCAGACTTCATGACATCGATGCGTCTTGCGGCATATCTGCGTGTGCGTGAGTGTGGGTGTGCGAGGTGCCTGTCTTGCTGCGTGCATATGGACCGGACCAATGAGCGGACAGAAGCAACCATAAACCTTTGCCTTCGATGCGTGTCCACTCAGACAACAAACACAAGGGTGAGCACGTCTCATCCGTCCACCCTCCCTCTCTCCCTCCCTCCCTCCCTCCCTCCCACGCATCGCATCACATCACACTCTCAGCCATGCTCCGGCGGCCTCCCAACATCCCCCCTCCGCCCATCAGGCACACTCACACCGTCACGCTGCACACCAGCACTAGCTGCTGCTGGTGGGGGAGGGGGCGGTGGTGGTGGTGGCGGCCTCACGCCCGCAGGCCCGTTCGCCAGAGGCCTGGCATACGCAGCAGGGGGCGAAGCCGCGTGATGCCGTGGCATGGTCGGCATGGGTGGAGGGGATGAGTGGGATGCGCCGGGGTCGCCCGACGACGACCGGAGTGGCGGGGTGCGTGATCTGGGGGGCCTGGGCGGGGCGTGGGTGTCGTTGGTGGACCCGGAACGGTTGAGGTTGGCTTGTGTGACGATGGTGTGCAGCACGGCGGCGTAGTACATCTCGATGTCTGCAATGCACGACTTCTGGGCCTGCGAGAGAGAGATACAGACAAGGCAGCAAGCTGTACCCGTCTGTTTGTGTGAATGTGTGCATGTGGCGTCTCTTCTGTCTGTGTCTCTTGATGGAGAGCGATGGCCGACCTTTCGCTGGTTCTCGACTTTGCTGATGAGTGCCACGTGCAGGCGGACACTGTACTCCTGATGCCGCTTGCAAAACGTCAGCAGCTCGTCACCCTGATGGAAACACACACACGCACGCACGCACACACACACACACACATGCACAACCAAATGCATGGTGTCACAGAACAGGCCTTCCCCACCTGCAGCTCATGTGCCTTGATATATGTGTCAAGGAAGTCCTTGGCCGGCATCGCCACGCGCCCATCGACCGGTGACGTCGATCCGAATCCGCCCATGCCCACGCCTACCCCGCCCCCACCACTACTGGTGTGTGTGGCCTGCCTGTGTACGTTGGTGAGGTGCTTCTCGAGATCTGCCTGGATGGCCATGAAGTCCTCCACCAGCTGAAAGAGGGCGGGGCCGGGCATCACCTCGCCGCCGAACCGGCGGATGCGCGCCACCACATCGACACACCCCTGGGAGGAGTGGGTGGGAGACATGTACGTACATTTATGTGTGTGGTCTGGCGAGGGTTGTTGTGGTGGTCAATGGAGTTGCTCACCTTGACGACGGTCTGTGCGATGTGCCACCATATCTTCGTCTGCACGCTCTTGGGCACACATCCGCCACCTGCGGGCCGGACAAGGGCAAGCCAACATATGTGTGGCTCAGTGTTCCTCGGTGTTGTGTTGTGTTGTGATGATGTCTGATGCGCTGCTGGTCTGACCGGCGACTTCGATGCGTCCCTCGAGGTCGTGCAGCTGGATCTTGAGCTGGTCGATGGTCGACTTGGCCGGCGAGCCACGGGGGAAGTCCTACACACACATACAGAGCAGAAGAGAGAGATGTCAGCCACATGTGGCTGGGTGGTGGATGGGTCGGTGTGTCCTGTGGTCACCCGGTTGCTTACCTTTTGGTCCCACTTGGCGCTGCTCATGCCTGCGATGAAGGTCTCCAGCTGCAGCAGGTCGCTCGCCGCCCTGGTGTACACAAACCCACGCAGCTCATTCAGCACCTGAATGACCAACACGCCACACCAACCACACGGAGGGGAACAACACAAGAGTCTCCCGCACAGTGGATGGATCATCTCACATCATTTTGTCTCACCCGTGTCCGCTCCTGGAACGCCCTTGTGAAGGCCTCCTGTGTCTGTCGGTGGACCTCTGACAGGTACACTGGCCCGCCACCTCCCCCACCAGCACCACCTCCAGCAGCAGCGGCGGCCGCAGCCCTCATGCTGCTCGCATGTGCCACGTGGCTCATGTCGGCGCCGACGAAGTACAGCCCCACATTTGAGAGCGGGGGTTTGTGGCGGATGTCGAAAAGGGCCGAGAGGAATGTGGCGGCGGACTCGACGCCAACGACACGCTCGGCGAGGCCGTAGAGGGTGGTGTGGGAGGTGAGGGTCTCGTTGGTCAGCGGCGGCAGCAGCTCGGCCAGCGCTGACGGATGATGCACACAAACATACAGATGGGAGGAATGATAGAGCCGTTCTCCTCTTTAAATCACCTCCCGTGGCTGCGTGTGAGGGGTTACGGGCGACAAACGCCCTGCAGACACACACACAACACACAACACACAAAACACACAACACACACAACACACACAACACACACACACAGGACAAGAGCTTATTCGGCGACACACGAATGCGTGACGTGTTCACCTGACGCCCAGGAGGTGGTCTTTGAGTCGTCCGAACTGCCTCTGCAGCAGGAGTATGTCGTGCTTGTCGTGCAGCCGCGGCCCGCCCACGCAGTCCTCTGGCGGCATGGGCGACTCGAGCAGCTGCTCGAACTCGCGACCATGCACACACAGGGCCAACACGTTGTAGAAGAAGATATCCATCACCTGCGCACATCCAGCAGCACCTGACGTGACGCACAGCTCCCTCCCTCCCTCCCTCCCTCCCTCCCTCGGCCCCTTACGAGTGTGATGTTGTGGCAGATTTCAGGTGCCAGCGATGGGAAGCAGATCATGATGGCCAGGTACTTCTCCACAGACTGCCCCAGGAACTGACTCGACGTCGACAGCACAGGGCCCAGGTTGGACCGCTCCAGCGGCAGCTCCGACCAATCCTGCCAGGGCGTCTCGTGCCCGCCGTCGATCCAGTGGCGGTAGAGGTCGAGGTCTCTGTCGGTGTCTGGCGCTGCTGATGGGTGGTGCCTGCTCACATCGGAATCGGTCTCGCTGCCCGCGAACCGACCACCTGCACAGATGGATGCGACAGACAGAGACGGTGGATGTGTGTGTGTGTGTGTGTGTCCGTGTGGTCGTTGCTGTCTGTCTACCGAATCTGTTGTCGGGCATTTTGTCGGGGTTCCAGTTGCGGAAAGGGTTTGAGTCGGCCAGACGCACATTGGGCGCCGGCCGGACTCTCGACCTGCCCGTGGTGGCTGGCGACCCTGCGGCCGTCGGTGAGCCATCGGGCGATGCGGCAGGCAGCTGGGTGGCTACACAGGCAAGGAAGGAAATGATACAAAAGGACGAGCTCCAAGGGAAGGGATCCTGTGTAGCTTGATTCACCCACCCACCGTAAGGGTCAAATAGCGGCGTGGACAGCGCCCAGCCCCTGAGCCCCTGGGGCAGCATCTGGTGGACCCTCTTGAGGTCGATGAGGCGGAAGTTCCGGGGGATGGGCAGCCGCTGCCAGGTGTCGTTCTGGATCATGATCTTGAGGTTCCTGCTCTCCTCGCCAGCCAGTGAGGCGAAGTACTCCATGCCCTTGGCCAGCATGCATTGACGCAGGTTGTGGGTCCAGGGGAGGGGCGGGGGGGAGGGCGAGGGAGAGGGGGAGGGAGAGCCGTCCCTCGTGTGGTGGATGGGGCTTGGTGCGGGTGAGGGGTGGTGTGATCGGGACCTGGGGGCCTGGAGGGGGCAGTCGGCCATGAAGGCGTCGGCCTCCTCGATGAACAGGTGCGCCAGCAGCAGCACCTGCAGCCATACACGCATCGCATACGGCAATGGCGGGTGGTGATGGGAGAGAGGTGTGTTGGTGTTGGTGTTGGTGTCACCTGGAAGAAGGAGTCTTCTTTGAAGTTGATTGCGTTGGTGTTGACGTTCTGCATGGCCGTCATCACATTCTGCTGGATGCGCTCCCACACGCCTTAATCCATTGGCACACACACACACACAGAGAGAGAGAACTCACATGCCATGCCCCGTTCCTCTCCTCTCCCCTATGCCATCCATCTTTTCTTCTCACACGCACCTTTCTTGCCGGCGAGGAGTTCCTTGTGCACCTTGGCCACGAACTCGGCATAGACGTCCTCTTCGGGCTGGTACGGCAGGGGGAAGTTCAGGATGTCCTCAAAGCTGTTGGCCAGGTCGTCCTCTCCCCCACACGACGACCCCCGGCGCCCCTCCATCACAGCCAACACCGACCTAACCGTCGGCACCACCCCTTCGCTCTCCCTCCTCCCATCACCACCACCACTAGTACTAATGGTGCTCTTGCCCTCCTGCTGCCGACTCACGTGCCACATGGCAATGTACTGCAGCCGATAGAGTATGTCACACAGGTACTCCAGCATGTGTGCCAGGCAGGTGACGAGCCGGTCTGATGGGATGCGGCTGCAGAGGTCCCGCAGGTGGGTGTGGCGACTGAGAGACGAGGGGGCGTGTGTGTGCGAGGGGGAGGGCGGGCGGAGGGGAGGCTCGTCTGCGGCTGTGGGTGTGATGAAGGACAGGACGCACTGGCGCATGACCTGGGTGGCGCAGTCGGCGAGGTGGCGGCACAGCTCCGCCCCGACAGACTCGGACTGAGGCAGCATGCAAAAAGCCTTCAAGACCTCCTCATACCTTCACACACACAGAGACAGGGAAAGACGGCATGGGCAAGTCGGGCGGGGGGGGGGGGGGG